AAACCAGCCAATAGACCGATTTATGGACTGGTTTATGGACCAGTCCTGGACAACGGTCCAGTCCGCGGTCCTCTGATCTTTGGGACCAAGACCGGACCGGGACGGACCGTAACATCCCTAGTTCCGGAGCACTGCTTAAAATAACTTTTGAAGTCACATGATGATGTTCTAATTTGATGTTAATAAATTTTTTTTTAGTGTAAATACATAACCATTATGTACTTATCTAATTGTCCAATGAAATTAACATTTGAAAATTAGTAGGTTAATGTGATGTAATTATATGAATGAAGTTAATATTATGTACAACCCTTGAGTGTGTGCCAGGTTAGTAGTGCAGTTAGCCACGCTGTACAAAATTACGAGACCCAAGGTTTACGAAGATTAACAATGTCGCGTAAGTTGAAATGATAAGAAAAAATAAGCATAATTTAAATTAATATATATAATTTAATTGTTCATGTAAAATAACTTTGAAATGACAAATAAAATTAAATTAATTGATTTTTTGCAACATTTCTTGCTCAAACTACGATCTTTTATTATTAATTTTTTTTAGTTTTCCTTTACTTTATTTAAATAGTGTGACTTTTTAGTTCGATTAAACCCGCTCGACTTATGCTGTTTGACAAATTCGACTCGAACATGATCATAGCTCTATTTTTAATACATGATAAATCTGTGTTACAGTTATTATCATACAAGAAGAAATTCAATCGTGAGATTGAAAGCAATTTTGATGCACATTATCTTGTAATAAATTTATCCAAAGTACAATATTGGAACTATAGTTGTTAGACGAAACCATGTGATGCTAAATGTCACATATCAAATCTTAATAAAATTAGGTTAAATTTTTTGGTCTTGGTATTTTGTGACAGGTGATATTTAGCATCACATGGTTTCGTCTAACAACTATAATTGGAACCTGACATTTTAGTAATCATTTTTGATTTCTTGCATGAAAATGTCAACCTTTTATGCTGCTCAACCGAAAAACTAAGCTTCTTCGTTCTGTTCAACTGCACCATCAACTTCATTCTGTTCAACTGAAAAATCATCACTTTCTTCATTTTTGCATGACTAATTCACTTGTAAAATACGAAACTATTTATTAATTCAATAATAAAAAAAAGCATACTTTGAATTTACTTCCAATATTTTATCAGATGATTCTGATTCTTGTAAATGATCTTGCGAAATAGAACTGTAACGAAGCATATAAGAAATTGATTTTTGTGACTTGACCTAACATAATAATAATAATAATAATAATAATAATAGTAAAAAGGGAATTGCTATTTTCACCCCATTTTTGCCAATCCCACCCCCAGATATCAAAAGGTGCCCGGAAGAGGTATTTTTATTAAGTAAATGCTTTAAAATAAGTTTTTGCTTCTTTTGATAATAATAAAAGTTATTCATCAGGCCGTTCTGGTTCTAATGGTAGTAAAATCATTAAAGTCAGATCAGTAGTTTCTAAGATATATATATCCAAAGTTAGTTACCTTTCATTTATTAATGATTTTACTACCATTAGACCAGAAAGGCCTGTTGAACAACTTTTATTAAGGCCAAAATAAAGGTTTACTTGATAAAAATACCTCTTTTTTTAAATTTTGGGAGCAATTCTCTAATAAAAATAATAAATAAATAAATATATAAAAGAGCAGATAAATTGTAAGAAATCATAAGATTCATCGAATTAATCAGAAATATATCGATATTATTATTAAAAAAAAAAAAAAAAAATCCAAATGTAGAAAAAAATTTTTAATCACTAACCCCATGTACTAACACCAATTTTTGGCGTTGTTAATGTTGAACAGAAAGAGTATGGAAAAATCCAACAAAGGCAATATTATAAATTAGCATGGAAATGTTAAAGATACGTAGTACTGTAATAAAGTTAATTATTAATTAGTAGTATCGATTCTATACTTACGCTCGGCCGCAACAAAATTGGACCGGCAGATTCACGATTTTGATTGGCTAAGAGCGACGATCAAAAAATTAGGCCGGAATTACACATAATTTTACTAATGAATTATAGCCGCCTATTTCCTGGGCCAATTTTACCATAATGTGGGCTTATTTTTGAGAATTAAAAAGATAATTCCGGCCGGAAATTAGCAAACAATTTTGTAATGTGGGGCCAAAATTTTGAAGATCCTCGGAGGATCTGCCGTGCGACAGCTATAGTTAATGGGCAAAGGCTAACTGCGTCACATCTGGTACACATTCAAGACGTGCTGTCCTGGCTATTAAACTTGGTCAAATTAAAACTCGAATTCTAGAGCAAAGTCCGTCCGAATCGGACTTTTACTATTCTTAACTACTATACAGAAACTTAAATTTCTTAATGCATGGTAACTATGTAGTTACGATTAAATTTAATAGTAATTATGTAATTACTACGTCGTTACTATGCAGTTATTATATATTAAGATATTTAAGTTTCTGTAAAGTATTACAAAGCCAACTTGGTTCTATGACGATAATGAGCTTTACAACGAACTCTGAATTTTATATGAGCTTTTGTTCCTCCGAAAAGGAGTCAACTTATGCGATAAGTATCATTAATAGTTTACAAACGCAACTTCATGCTAGCAAATATGGCCAATCATAAAGGGTTATTAATTTTCATGTGATCAACCAATCACGAGTTGAAATTTTTAATTTTTTTTACCTAGCGCTGGTTATTCATAACGTTTTTAAACAGTTGTTGATATTATTGTATCACCGAAGGTAACGCCACAATCTTATGTGAATGCATTCACGAAACGATCAGGATCTGATTTCTACAAAAGTTAACTAATTATTGTAACATGATCTTACATAAACTTTACTTACGTACGTATCTCATTTACGTCTGTTGCTTACATAACGTGGGATAAAATTACATCCACAAAAATAATTGAATTTAAATAGTGTTTTTTCGGTTTTTCATGATTTTCAAATTTCGTTATGTTGCTAAAACTTCATCCAAGGCTTATTTTCGTCATTATTATTTCTATCATGATCATGAGTGCTGGTAGGTTTTATGACATTCGTACGTACAGTATCAGGTATATCATTGAATCATTTTTAGTAATCGCACAACTTTTATCAGGTATGTTCTTTTTGAGACCCGATTTCATATTTGAAGTTTTGTCTTTATTTAATACAACGAATTGTCCTTACTTTCTCTCACTTGCTCTTCATTAAATCCTTAGCGGCGTCTAGTGAGTATAATTTCATCGTAATTTTCCTCTAAAACCATCTATAATCATTAATTAATGTAATTTTTTTAAATGTAATTTTTTTTTTTTTTAGTTGGTGAATATGATGCACTTATTTTATTTTATTTTCTTTTTCACTTCCCTAATGCATATCTATATTTTCTTTAACTATTAGAAAGTGAGTATATAAAATTAATGTTATCATTTGTTTCACTGATCTAAACTTGTTATTTTATTTTTAGGCCGTGAGCATACGATCTATTCTTTTTGAATACTTTACTTCTTTATATAATCTATGATTAACACATACAGTATTAATTATTTATTAGAACGTATGTTTATGTCTATTTGATAATGATTCGCTGTTTCAGTAATTTATTGACTTTTTGCATACTCTACTAAATTGCTAGTCTGTATGTATAAATTTTATATCCATTTTCAATCAATTTAAATTACTAATTTTCTATCCTATTAAATTATTAGGCAGTTAGTATAAAATTATTTTTCACAATAATTTATTAGTTTATGACTTGTTCATATTACATACTTTTATCTAATTGATAGGCGGTATGTGTAAGGTTATGTTTATTTTTGATAAATTAATGATGTATATCTTTCTAATAATATTATTATAAATTATTAGCTTGTAAGTATGAATTTTTTATAGTTTTCTCGATTAAATTCAATTAATTGCTGAGTTTTTTTTTTCTTTAATTGTAGCACGTAAATATACAAAATTTTAAATGTATATCCGATTAAAGCTCATCTCTAATAATATCTTTATTAATTAATCTGCGATATTAAAATTTCCAGCCTGTAAGTATAACTTTTCATTTAGTCAGCCATTATCTTATTGATTGCTGATGTGAAAATTTTTATTTTAAATAAACATAAGTCTGTGAGTATAAAATTAATAATCCTTTGTATTTCTGATTAACAATAATAAGTCAATAAGTCAATAACCATAATTATATATATATATATATTAGGCGGTAAATACGAAATTTAATTTTTTTATTTTGTTTTTAATAATTTTTAATATTTACATGTCTTTTCCTTAATTAAACTGTCAGCCCGTAAGTTTTAAATCATTCATGAGAATTTGACAATTTAATTTACAATTATATTTAATACACATTTTTTGGAAATTTTAAAACAGAATGTAAGTATAAATTGCTCTTATTATATATTACTATAAAGTTTATAATAATTTTTTTACTTATTAGGTGGTATAATTTGATTCGTTTTTTCACCGCTCTTAATGCCTATTTTCTATTTATATACTTACTGTTTTTATTGATATTCGTTTATTTTACTGTAGTCTGTAAGTGTAATGTTTACAGTTTTTAACAATATTCACTATTTATTAACGTTGTAGTTTTTACTTGTTGTTTATTATATTATTAGCCAGTAAGTATAATTTCAATTCTTTTCAATCGATTTGTCATAATTACTTAATAATGCAATTTATTGTTTATTAATATTCTATTAGTATGTAAGTATGAGTTAAATATATTTTTACATGATACAATAATTCAATATAGTGATGCATTTTTCATTATTAGGTGGTAAATATTAAATTCATTATGTTACACTTATTAAAATATATTATTACTATTAATGCAAATATTTATTAAATTAGTCGGTATGAAATCATTATAATTATTTTTACTAATTCAATTTCCTAGTTTTTTTTGACCAATATAATTTATTAATAAATTTCTTTATTAGATGGTATACATATTAAATTTTATATGGTTTACGCATCTCTAATAAGTATTTATTATTAAGATTTAAGCTTTTATTTTAGTTAGTGAGTATAAATGAAGCTTATATTTCTTAAAGTTGATATTCCGTAACGCGTCAATCCATTAATGTACTTTACAAATCATTAGTGAGTGAGTGTGAGATTTTAGACATTTTATTGTTCACGATAATTAGTTTTGATACATGCCAATTTTCATTCTCCATATATTTTATTAATTCATTAGGTAGTGAGTACAAAATATTTTTTAAGTAGATAGTTTTCGACAACAGGTTATTAACGTACACACATATAAAAAATTTAGACTGTGAGTAAAAAATGTTATATCTTTTTTCTAAATTATTGTATCTTATTAATTTTGTTTCTCTTTAAATTATTATTAGTTTGTAGTAGTTGCACCAGTAAGTACAAAGCTATATTTGCTTCAAAATCCTATAATATATTAGTATATTAATATATTTTTTGTATTTAAAGGTGGTAATGTAAAATTTGTCACATTTTTTTTTATTCGCTATTATTATAAATTTTTAATGCCCATTTTACGAAATTATTAGTTCGTAAGTAGTTTTTAATTTAAATTTTAAAGTTTTCAAGCTATTTTAGATCAGAATTATTCATTTATTATTAATATTAATCGTTTTAGAATGTAATATAAATTTATTATATTTGTTTTTAATATATGTTTTTCATTGAATCTAAATTTTAATATGCTTGTTTTTTAGTCGGTAAGAGTAAAATCCATCGTCTTTGTTTCAAATGGATTATAATCATTTGTTAACATATATAGTGTGTTGAATCATTAGCTTGTGAGTATAAATTTGTTAATAAATAATAATAATTCATTATTTAACTAAATTACATGCTATTTCGTAGGTGGTACATATAAAATTCAGTAACTTGATTTAATTAATTATAATAATTAATTATTAAAATCCATTATTTTATCAACAGTTCGTGAGTATAAATAATTATATATTCATTTCTTTAATCCATTATTAATATAAAATTAATTTATTAGGCCGTAAGTATGAAACTAATATACTTCAGGCTATTATTTCGAGTTTTTATTTTGCAATAATTTATGCCTATTTAATTAAACATACAACTTATCACCAACAATTATAGAATGCAAGTATATAATTGGTTTTTTCTTGAAGGTATTATTTTATGAGTTATTAATCGTGCTTCTACTAAATTATTAGGCGGTAAGTATATTCCATGTTTAATTTAATCAAATTTAATATAAAACATTGCCTTATTTTACTACGCATTATAAATCATTAGTTCGTGAGTATTGCTACCGTTATATTTGCTGAGGTTATTTCGATTATTATTAATATACTATATATATTTTTTATTATTAGTCAGTAAGTATGAAGTTATTTTTTAATATTTCTTATAACCTAATAGTCTAATATTGTAAATTTTTTTGTTCTTTTGCTAACTTCAGTGGGTGGGTATAAAATTTCAATGATTTTCAATTATTAATTGGCATTTTTTTCACATTTCATTATCGATTTTTAGGTTGTAAGTACAGCAATAAATTTATGTATACATTTTTAAGCTATTGTATTAAATATAAATATTTTGTCTTTTGTGCATTTTTACTAAATAATTAGTTGGTAAGTTATCGTTTTTTTTTTAAATTCTCATTGTAAAAAAAAAAATCGATTGATATTGCGACTTATTAATTCGTATTTTATTAAATTATTAGCGGGTAAGTATAATTTCAAAAGCAAATATACCAACGTATTTTATATTTATTAAATTTTTTTTTTGTTATTGAACTACTAGAGAGTACGTATAATATTTTCTTAAATCAATTTTTTTTTTTTGACTATTTTTACTGGTAGTTTTTATTTATGTTTATTATTATTATAGAGCTCGTCTCTAAGCAAACTGTTATTTCATATGGAGGTTAAGGTTTTAAAAATTTAACATTATTATTATTGAAGTAATTTGTTTCTTTTTTCAACTTTTTATTTATTTAGGAATGGTATTCGAATAGCCAATTGCATTTATTTTAAGCAATAAAGGTTATGCTCACTAAAAGCTTTAAAATTGCTGTAATTTGTAATGTCACTATTCAAATTTTTGAAAATGCAATTTAGTACTATACTCAAATAAAATTCATATTTGATGTTAGAGCTATTGCTGTACGTGCGCTCTTAAAATCTTTTTTTGAATAAAATTTTCTACCTTTGGCTTTGTACTTTGTAGGTTTTCAACTTTCTTTTAAATATACTATACAGAAACATGTAATTGTAAATAGAGTATGTCAATTATTATTACGGATACGAAACTTATAAAATTTAGTTTTTTAAAGTGAATTCCTTTTAATGGGTTAGGTTAGAGCGTTCTATTATTCTTTTCGTGTTAAGATATGTACAGGTAGACTGTGTGAAAATGTAGTACCCAGGCCACCCCAGATGAGAAATTTGTAAATTAATTTTGCAGAATTAGGATTTTAGGGTTAGGGTTAGGCCACGCAAAATTAATTTTTCGTTTTACATTACATGGAATCTAAAATTTGGTCGGTCAGTCGGATTTTTTTTTAAAAAAAATTCACTTTAAATCAATAAAAATCATGTTCATATTTTAAGCCTACGCAAAGTTAATCTTTTTTTTTTTTTTTTTTTGTAT